TCTGACTTCGCCACTATCTTCACAGGAAGTTAAACAATGCAAAAGGATGATGGCAAAAGTGTGATATCATGATTAAATAGACACTATATGTGTACGACGCGTTGCTGAGTATCAAAAATGAATATACAATTTTTCTACAATATTAAACAAATAGTTGTTAAGAAGAAAAACAAGTAGCGCAACACCTTCTGAGTGTTGCAAGTTCAAGAGATCATGTTCTCATGTGGGCATGGCCATCTAACGATCACTCTAGCGTGTGGAGGGTTCGAAGTGAAATGTATAAGAAACTCGATATACCAGTCGAAAGGTCATTATCAATTGTCTTTAAAACAGATGTCGCCAGCTCTTGTGAATTTGATGGTGGTCCGATACTAGGATCTTTTGTGTTGTGGGTGATTCTTTCCCTAAATAGCTGACCAATTCATGGTGTATAGCTTGTCAAAAGTATCAACAAGTATGTCGAATAAAAATGAATTTTATATTGATCGGCAGAAAACACTTTGCTCTTTCCGATTATTCTCTTTGCACAACGTTGAAATAATCCTGAAGCAAGACAATGCACTCGCAAACCATTTGCATTTTTAGTGAAATTCCGTAACGAAACTGGCCTATAAGTTATTTTTCTCGCATATATTGACAGCTTTCGGAACAATAACGATACATCCAGGTAGAACTCAACGAGCTTTATCGAATGCACTCATTTTTATCGTAACCTGATCAAGTTTTAGTGTCACTCTTCTGGAAATACTGCGTTACGGAATTCCATTAGAAACTGAAAACTACGATATTTCTACACTATTCAACGTTTAGTGCTGTTCGCCTTCACAAACATAAATATATTTGGATCTATTTAGAATCAGCATTGAATTCTGAACAAAATAGCCTATTTTGTTTTCCAAAACTTCAACTTTGATTTTTCTCGAAAATTTCTAGTGTCGAAAAAGCTGAATTTTTTTTCCTCAGATTTTAGTGAAACATAGTTCATTTGATGTAGCATTTCATGTTGAAGACGAATATCTAATTCCCATCGCTTATTCCTGCTTTTAGTTTCAAAGAAACTGCGACTTTTTGAAAAAAGGCGAAATTTCGTAACAAATGAAATTCCGTAACGAACAATATTTGCAGTTTTTTATTTGATGTAGCCATGCTTTTAAAAAAACAACCTGATATTTTGAAAGCTTGTTTAAAGCTGAAAAACTTTTATACAGAACGTTTATTTGTACATTGCTCCGTTTCGTACTAAAACATTAAACTCTCAGGTAACTCTCAAAACAATTTATATTTTTTGAAATTCAGTAACGGTCAATATTTTTTAAATGACTCAGCTCTAGCTAAAGAAAACTAAATGAAATCATTACTAGCAATAGAGCTAAATAATCTCTATTTATGATAAAAATTTCACAAAGTTTGCCCTCATTATTGAAAAGGTATAGGTGTTACAATACGAAAAGATGAAATTCCGTAACGCTTGGCCATCACCATGTATGACTGAGGGAACAGTTAAACATTATGGACATCTGGTCTCGGTCTATGTAAGGTGTTGGTGTAGGTGCGCGTATAGGTGTGGCTGTGGGGTATGAGTGGAATCTTCTCTTTATCCACACCCACATCCTACACCCTCTTTTCTATATAGTTCTTTTTTTGTTATTCTGGTTTGTCTGTTGCTTACTCTATTTGATCTTTTGGCTCTTATCTTATTTCATTTCATTTAATTAATGATACAAATGGTGTTAAGCTCTATTGTCCCTTTAGGACCAACATGGTTATAGGATTAATTCATGCTTATAATAAATAAATAAATGAATATATGACTGATTGAGTGAATTATGAAAATGAACGAGATAGTTAACTGAAATAATACAGATGAAAAAAATAAAACTGATCAGAACTGAGGAGAAAAACGAAAAATACATTATTCAACATATTTATAAACGGCTGGATCATTTAAATTACTTTTTGCCGACTTGAAATATTTTCTCAGGATGATGATGCGATAAATAATCAAAATTATTCATAATCAGTGTATTCAATGAACGATATGATGCTAAAGAGATCACGACTCATGAAAGTTTAAAACATATTGTCAACGGAGGGCAGGCGAAAAAACTCGCAAAAGTATTATTTGTTTATTTCGATCTCTCCATAATAACTTTACATTTTTCTTCGCTTGTCTAACGAGGGAACATTCCCAAGTGTCACATCGCTTTTGAGTCGATACTATAAGCATCATGTAGACTCTAATGGTCTATGAGTAACCTAAAAAAAGTTCGTGCCGCTAGCTTATTGGTGTCGAGATATTGCATTTTTAGTTATTTTTAAGCAGAATGCCGTGGTCCCTCTCAGGGACATCAAGAAAACTGAGTTTTGAGTTTTCACTTGAAACTTTGCGCACAACCAGGCCTTAATGAGAATAGTTTATAGTAAAAGTTTCAGAGCTTTTGGATGTTCATATCCTAAGATACGGCTATTATAAAATTGCTCCTATACATGGGCAGATTCGACGTTCGTGTTTCAGGATAAAACCAAAACAAAAGATCTGAAACTTTTACAATAAACTATTCCCATCAAGATCTATCTCTTTGCAAAGTTCTAAATCGAAATTCGAAAATTAGATTTTCTGATGTTCCTGAGGGGGACCACAGCTTTCATTTTTTAAGAATACCGTAAAAATGCAATATCTCGGCACCAATAAGCTAGCGGCACGAACTTTTTTCAGGGTGTTCATAGATCACTAGGACCTACATGATGCTCATACTCTCGACTCAAAAGCGATGTGACACTTGGGAATGTTCCCTCGTAAGTGAAAAATGTTATTTCGAATACGTTGTACAACTCTTCTTTGACTCATCGAAAAAAAAGTTAGTATACATGTAATTCGTCGATAATATCATCTAATGCGCAGTATGTGGATAGAGTTCTTAATAAGTAGAAAAGCGATGTAACCGAGAAAACAAAAAGATAGCTACGCTTCAATTATCCCTATTCGGTACAAGCAAGCTTTTTTTTGTTTACAAATTGCTTCAGAAGTGTAGCTACTTTGCCGTTGTATTATTGGTAAGTTTGTTTGCCTGTTTTAACAATATTAAACACTAATGTATAACGATCTAGATTTATTCTTTATCACTTTTTAATCATATAATCTTCCACAGCTTGGTACTTCTACACGATATGCAAGGCTCTTATCGGCATGCACATTGTATCGCACACGAAAATCACTGTATGAGTGAGAACGGTGCATATTCTGTAGAAGTACCCACAACTTTCGTCACTTATTCATGCAGACACGAAAAACAAAGAATTTTAATAGTTCTAAGAAAACTTGATCGTCAAATACATCAACTACACATTTTGCATGTAGACTAATCTCAAGAGACGAATTAGTTTAAACGCGCTGAATTGCTTAAAAAACGACAAAATAATAAGTGATTATTGAACATAATAAAATCCGTTCAGTAAAATACGTGTAAAAATGTTTTCCTAGCTGATATTTCCGTGTTAACACGAGCTTTAGCCATTGAACGTGGTAAAACTCGTGAAATTCGTGCTGCAAACGAGGAAAAACGCGTAAATCTAGAAATGTGGGTGTGGGTGTGGGTGGGTTTGAGTGTGGGTTCGAGTCCGTTTTTCGTCCACACCCACACTGTAAAAAAAGGTAATTTACCGAAACCTCCAAAAAGGTTTCGTAAGTGTCTAAAAGCTTCCAATTGCGTCCAAATGCTTAAAAAAATGGTTGTTAAAATCTACGAAACCTTAAAAGGATCTGTCCGCGGGTACACCGGGTGTGGGTGTGGATGTGATATAGTTACAACGATACCTGAAGGTATTTCTGATGTTACTGACTCAATCTTATGAAGTGGCACAAGCATCCGCTTAAGAGATTTAAGCCGAAAGCCTAAATCAAAGCATGGCACCGAAGGTCTACCTGGTAAACCAAGTAGATAACCCAAAGAAAAGTGGGTATGATGTAGTTACCGCGATACCAGTTGGTATTTCTGATGTTACTGACTCAATCTTATCAAGTGGCACAAGTGTCAGGTTAAGTGACTTAAGCCTAAAACCTAAATCAAAGCATGACACCAAAGTTGTACCGTATGGAATCTAGTAGAAACCCAATTTTAGTTAAGCATGCCATGACCGGTTTCGTCCTTGCTCAAGGAACTTCTCA